AGGAGCTTCAAAGGAAGCTGCTCTTTAGATATGTGGATTAAGTGCAAAATTAAAACCTTGATCTTTCTCTTTCTCTATTTTTCTCTCCATCCCCTCCACCCCACCCCACCCCACCCCACCCTATCTCTCCATCTCTCCCCCCTCTCTCCTCTCTCCTCTCTCTCTGTCTCTCTCTCTCTTTTTGATCCAGCAAGGTTAGTCCGGACAGAATCTGTGCCATGTGATATTAACAACCCACTGAGGAAGCCCCCCAGATACTCGGACCTGCATGTCAGCCAGACGCTTCCCAAAACCAACAAAATCAACAAGGTGAGATGTTGCAGAGTTGCTTTGGTGGGACTGGAGTGACTGCAAGCCAGTCACACTGGAAGCCCCAGGGAGTCAACAGCTCCATGGTAGAGCACAGAGCTTTGTATGCTGAAGGTCAGAAGTGGCTGGCGCCCATTGGGATTGGTGGGGCAGAAACTGGGACACTGACAGTGAGTGGCTCCAGTGCCAATGATAGGCAGAGCCAGAGCCACTGCCAGTCAGTGTAGACAATACTAAGCTAGATGGACCCAATGGTCAGTCTCAGTATAAAACTATGTTTCTATGTTTCCATCAGTGGAACTGCTGGAGAAATGGGGGGGGGGGGGGAGAGAGACCCTTCCTTGCTTGCCATGGAAACAAGTGCTCTGTAATGAAAATGAATTGTGATGGGGAGGGGAGGAAATTGGCACAGGGTTTTTTTCTGCTTTGAAAAATAGCATCCCCCAGTTTACTTGCTGGTCTGTTCAGCCATCTGCTGGGCCAGAACTTTGCAGATGGCTCCTTGGGTTTCCAGGCATATCTGCCAATTCAAATCTCAAAGGGGCTGGTATACATTTCAGCAAATCTGGTCAAGGCTAAGTAGAAACCTGTTTTGGAAGGGGGTGGGTGAGGTTGGGACAGGCGTTTTTAAGCAGGAGCTGGTTCAACAGCAGCAGAAGCTGTCAAGCCGAGAGATGAACGAATAATGTTGCATTGCAGTGGGCACTCCTAAGACCTTGGAGAGCTGCTGCCAGCCAGGGGAGGCAGACTGGGCTTCATGAACAAATAGTCTGACTGGGTAGGTGACATCCCACCCCAGCTTTAACAGATAGCCAGAAATGTAGTGGTACATGGGAGCTGAAGACCTGTCCTATTTCTGCAGCAAGGTCCCTGTCTCCTCCAACCTAGAGCTGCACAGTCAGCATTTCAAACCATTCAGATGAAGACTTCTCACCCGTTGTGCTGATTTGAGCCAATCAGGTTGAAAGGTGGCTAGTCAGCCACTGAGGGTTGGCTCCTAGGGTCCTTCCAGGGAAGAACACAGAGGAATTGCTCTCTCTGCTTCAAAGCTAAGCATTGTGGAACACCCAAAGCATAAGGTGCTTTAGCTTCAAAAGAATGGTGTGCAAGTTTTGTTATGTACAGTGGAACTTCAAGGGTGACACAGCTTAGGTAGGTCACTTGGAAAGAAGATTTTGGAGCACTCCAAATCCTTTGCCCATTTACTTGCACAGAAAATAGTAGACCCAACTGAAAGGCAACACATGGAGATCTGCGCTGATCGTTGCAAGGCACCCCTAATTCCCCCCCTGCAGAATTATCAGATTATTGCATAATCTTATAAGGGGGTGTGGCTGAGAGAGGGCGTGGCTGTGATTTTGCCACTACACTACTCCACATCACCCCATCATCAAACTTGCTGATGTTCTCCAAAAATTCTAAATCAGAGAAGGGAAACCTGTGACCCTCCAGATGTAGCTAGATTCCAGTCACTATAGCATCTTTGACCCAGACTGGCTGGGTATATTGGAAGTTTTAGTCCAGCAATATTTGGACTAGTGTAGACAACAGAGTGGGCAACACAGACAGAGCTCTTGTATAAACACAACTTCCTACATCTCTGTGTTAACTCTTGAAGGAAGAGGGAAGCCTTTGGGCGAGCTCAAGAGCTTAATTTCTCCGAATCAAAGTTTTCACTCTGCTTTAAGGTAGGATGGTCAGACAGAAGAGACAAAACTTTGCCATGAGCATGATTTTTCATGTCAGTGCAATGGATATATTTTGGTCCTATTATTGAGTTGTAAACCCCAGATAAATGACTATTTATTTGTATAGAAACAAGAGCAAATTGAAGACAGCTGGCTACGACTGGAGGAGTGGAATTTTGTACTATAGTGTGGACTCCAATATCTGTGTGTTTTTGTGTGTGGATATGTCAATACCAATAGCAGCACTTTAAATATGGTCACACCAGTGCTTTAAATTGCCCCTGGACACTAACTAGGGTGTCAATGCAACTGTTACAGTATAGAATCCAAACAACATGTATTCTGAAAGGTGTGAGGAGGGAAGCAGTCATTTATGATATAGCCTAAATTGATATGTTTATGACATAACCTAAGGTGATTTGGTGAGGACCTGGTGTCATTATCATTAATTTGCATATATTTGCATTCTGCCAGTGTGCTTTTATCCCACCTCCCTACCCAACTTTTAGGCTAAATTCCGAATTCTCCCTTTAATTTCTAAAATGCGTTAAAGATTTAGAAATGAATGTATCTGAAAATTTAAACCAGCAATCATATGCAAACGTTTGCCCCACTCAGAGCACAGCTATTGAAATGAATGGAGACAACTAATTTGAGATCCATTAATTTCAACAGGTGCAATCCTGTTTTGTTTGGCATTTTCTGTGGATGTCCTCCCACAAGGTCCTTTGCTTTTCAGAACTCGATGAAGAGCAAAGTTCAACATCTGAGAGGCAAAATTTAGTATCTTTTAGACGCCATCCAAATCTAGGTTCATGGCATTAGCATTTTCATTACAAGTTGAGTACAAGAAAGCACATTTTTCATTGCCTGCTGTGCCCTCCCTGCTCCCTCCCCCAGGCCCAGCAGAAAAGAGCGAGCAAGAGGGATGGTGTGAAAGCGATTGTACGGCCGCAGATTAGTAACTTGATTTCACTAGTGTGGGTTAGCAATAGAGGAAAAGCCAATTTATTCAGGTGTCATTTGAGCTGCCATTTCAGATGCTGTATGCGTACATGTATGTATGTATGGGACGTGGGTGGCGCTGTGGTCTAAATCACTGAGCCTAGGGCTTGCCAATCGGAAGGTTGGCGGTTCGAATCCCCATGACGGGGTGAGCTCCTGTTGCTCAGTCCCAGCTCCTGCCAATCTAGCAGTTCGAAAGCACGCCAGTGCAAGTAGATAAATAGGTACTGCTCCGGCAGGAAGGTAAATGGCATTTCCATGCGCTGCTCTGGTTCTCCAGAAGCAGCTTAGTCATTCTGGCCACATGACCTCGAAAATCTGTCTGCAGACAAATGTCAGCTCCCTCGGCCAGTAAAGCGAGATGAGTGCCGCAACCTCAGAGTCGTTCGCAACTGGACTTAACTGTCAGGGGTCCTTTACCTTTATCTTTTTATGCATACTTCAGGAATGACTGGTGTCCTTTGGTAGGGCAGAAGGCAGGAGAGGTCAACAGTAGGTGGCACTAGAGCAAATGATAAGCAGAGCTGCAATCTATGATGGCCATCTAATTCTAGTTTCGTCCCAATTCTCCTCCCTACTGAGTTGCACAAGGGGCAACACTCATTCTTAAGGAGGAAGAAGCTTGTGGTCAGGGCTACCCCCTGGACTGGTTGTAATTAAGAAGGCAGGGGGGATTGGAAGAATCAGGACCGAGGGTGGTGGGGCAGTGCCCCGTTCACCCTAATGGACCAGCTTCTGCTGTGGATGACATGTTTTCTGAATCAGAAGTAGCCCATGTTTTGTCAAGTATGTGCTATAAGCCCAGTGCTGGCTGCTGCGGCTCACAGATAGAAACTGCTTAAATGTCTCCTCTGCTCAGAACGGAAGGGAGGGAGGGTGTTCAATCCAGGCATCCGATGAAACGCAGGCATGTTTAAGGAGGTGAGTTCAGTGAGTCAGTGCTGAGCTGAGCACAAACAGCAAACAGTCTTTGGTGCATTGCCAATTTTCAAGGGGGTGTCTACTGAGACCTCTGGCAGTGGATGCCAGTGGGCACATTGGCACCCATGGGCGCCTTGTTGCCAACCCTTGCTCTACCTGTTCCCTGTGTCTTCCTTTCCCTGTGTTACAAGGAGCTGCTCTCCATTGACAGCCTCAAGCTTATTTCGGGGGGGGGGCTGCAGTCCCTGCAGAGCCGCAATAAGAATGTGCAGCATTGTACAAAAATCCCATCTGTCTGCTTACCCTGAAGTGCCCTCTGTTGTCTCCGTAAAGTTAAATGGCCCATGAGGAATAATCAATGGAGAGTAACTTGAGCTGACTTGTGATTTCTCTGCGGGGAACAGGAGGCTGTTTCTTCCCCCCAGCCACTCCTCCTCACCCCCAATGTTTGATGCTTACTCGGCTGCCTATGGGATGGGATCGTTCCCAAGCTCAAGCTGGTGCTTTGCTGCACTGCTGAGAAACTTTTCCCACTCAGTGTCCAAGGTGGTCTGAGATCTCGCCAGCTACTAGTCACTTCACTTATTGGTCCAGGATCCCATCTTGTGTGGCAAGAGCTCTATGCATGGACACTCATCAGTTGCACTCTCACTGGTCTGTTCTTCCTCTTCCTGCAGGACCACATTCCGGTGCCCTACCAGCCTGATTCCAGCAGCAACCCATCCTCGACGACGTCATCCACGCCCTCCTCACCAGCTCCGCCTCTGCCGCCCAGTGCCACGCCGCCCTCTCCCCTGCACCCCTCCCCGCAGTGCACACGGCAGCAGAAGCAGTTCAACTTGCCAGGTACGTCCTGAGCTTTTTCTCTGAACCACAAGAGCTGCCCGTCCACATCTCTGAAAGCGAGGTTCTTAATTTGCCCCTGCACATTGACCAAACAAGACCCCAGGAGGCTACGGATCTGTTTGGGAAGGTTTCATTTTTAAATACCTGAGCAGAGGACACCAGTGGATGCATTTCAGTTTAGAAGAGATATATAAGCATTGTAGGATCACAGGAAAATCAACAGCACATCATGCCATAGCTCAGGGTTAGAACGTCCGCCTCACAAGCAGAAGGTCCCAGGTTCAGTCCCTAGCTCCTCCAGGTAGGATTGCGTAGAGACTCCTGCCTGAAATTTTGGAGAGCTGCTGCCAGTCAGTGTAGACACTACTGAACTAGATGGATTAGTGGTCTGACTTGGTATAAGTTTCCTATGTTCCTGTCTGTTGCATAGGAGACACACACAGATTTCCTCCATCCTTAGAGTAGGCAATACTGACTTAGATCAGAGATGGGGAACCTGATGTCTAGGGACCAAAAGTGGCCCTCAAGTCCTCTCTAGCTGGCCTGCGGAATTCTTCCCAGGCCACACCTCTTCTCCACAGGCCACACCCACCAGCAGCCTTGCTTCACACCTGTCTTGAGAGTTTTTTTGGAATGTGCACTTGAACTCTGAGCATCTTTCTTGCTTTCCTGCATGAAGGATAGAAAGGGGTATATGGGTGTGCATAGGAACTAGCCTACTGTACAAAGGTAATATTTGCATTTATTGCCCTCCCTTTTGCTCCTGGCCTTGCCCACCAGTGTGGTCCTTGGGATGAAAAGTGTTCCCCATCCCTGGTGTAGATAATGCTGAGCTAGATGGACCAATGGTTCGGCTTGTAACAAGGCAGCTCCCTACATTTCCTTCAAAACAGCAAGACCTCTCTTGTCCCTCTCTGATCGCTACACAGAGGTAGATCATCGACAGTGCAAATCTGTTGGTGCCTGCCATTCATCTTGGCCCATCATGGTTCTTCCTCCTTCCTCCATACTGATGAGAGCAGTTCCTTCCATCACTCTTGTTTCAAGAGGTCCCTCTACAGTCAGACAACATGGCAAAATGCATGCATGGCCCTTAAGAAAAATGATTATGGGAAGTAAGGCAACCATTTTTCATCAGCTAGAGAAGAAACTCTAGGAACAGCACACTATCAAACCCATTTGGGTGTCCTCGAAAGACCCCAGACAGTCATTCATTTTCAGACAGGGCTGGCTGCCTCTGAAGGCAAGGCTTAGAAAGACAGATTGAATTACCTGCATTTACACTTACACCTGAGATTCTCAGCTCAGAGGAGTGGGGGATTGTTGACCGGCTGGGGCCAATTCATTTGACTACAACTGATGATGGGCAAACTCACTCCAGTCTGATTAGAATTGAATTGATATTTATGAGCTTCTTTAAGAAATACTTAATTTGTAATATAGCTGAGCATCATATTGAGAAATTCAATACCAAATGGGCCAGTTCAGAATTGGATTGGCATTTACAGGCTTCTTCTGCCCCAGGCAGCTCCTGGCCAGATGTGTGTGTTTTAGCCCAAGTGGAGGCAAGATCCAGCTACAGATTTGCAGAATGATAAATCGCATCCCACCTTTCGCAGTTCAGGATCCAGCAAGCAACATTGGATCTAGCAGGGGTTAGGTTCCAGTGGATGTCCGATTCCAGTGAACATGGTCAAGCAAAGCAGAGGTTAAATTCTTGTGGGGTCAGTCAAGACAGAGGATAGGTGCAGGTCAGCAAAGTAGGGCAAAGTAGAGGTTGATTTCCAAAAGACGGCAGACAAAGCAGTCAGCACCCCGGACAGTTCCAGTTGAGCCACAGATCCAGACAGACTTGTATTGAATGTCACACTAAACCATTGCTTAGTGCAAACATGGGGACTTCCAGGGAGATTGCAGCTGCCTTGTTGCTCCCTTGCCATTTTGCTGTTGTGCTGTGCTGAGTGCCATGGTTTGTCTTAGCTTGTTATCTGAACCTGGACTCGTGGTTCAGCTCTCTCCAGACTAGCCCCAAAGTGTAACCAACAGACGACAGGTGAAGTTGAGAAGGCAGAGAAAGAATAGAAAATTAGAAAGCCCTCTGCTGCCTCATCTAAATGAGTGACAAGCCGCCATCCCTAAGCGAAAATTAATCACTCTTGGCCAACTCCAGGGGGGCATTTTCATTCCTCCACTGAAAGTGATGAGAAAGTCTGGGCCAAAGCATTCAGCCGAGGACTCATTAAAACACAGAGTAGTGGAACGAAACCAAATCAGCTCAACAGGCCAAACGCCTGCTTAAACAGAAACGGGTTTCACTTGGCAGCTGATGTTGAGATCGGCCGACAACTTGTGGCCCTGTGCGCACTTACTTATCAGCAGAAATGTGCAGGGGATTGGGCAGTTGGTTAGGATGAGTTGTTGATGCAGAGGGGAACAGGGAAGCTTGGCGAGATCAGCTTGATCTCATGGGAAGTGGAGCAATAGAAAGTGAATGGAATTTAGTTGTGCAGAGAGAGTGGTGATTTTCTGGGTGCTGGTGTCATTTGTGCTCTTGGCTTGTGACTCCCTAACCCAGGGATGGGGAAACTGTGGCCCTCCAGATATTGATGGACTCAGCCAGCATGGCCAGTGGTGAGGGAAGATGGGAGCTGGGGTCCAATAACATCTGTCAGAGGGCATATTCCCCATCCTTGCCCTACCCAAATGCGTGAACTTTTGAGTGCTATATATGGACAAGCGTTTAGACTCCTGGCTTCCCCTGGCCTGGCAGGGGCATGGTCCCATGCCCAGTGTTCAGTTCTGGACAAGGTTATGACTTGTAGATTTGTATAAGCTCTTCTGTTTAGCCCTAGTGCTTGGTTTCTTTGCAGGGCCATCCCATGTAGGAACTAAGTCCCAGTATATTTAGTGGGAATTACTTTGAGCTACGGTGTGCTCAAGATAGTAGCCTTCTCCTCTGTGCATTTACCTAATTCCCTTTCAAAGCTATCCTTTGTGCAAGTGCTTCTTTTGACGCATTGTGCCTCTGTCCTCCAAAGATGTTCTGTGCTACTAATGAGACCCCAACCCATTTTTACAGTAGGGTCCCTGGATCTTGGCTACCCAGCTGGAATTTTCACAGCCTGGGGCGACTAAAAATTTGAATGGATCCATTTTACCAATAGAATTAGAATTTTTGAAAGCAAAGCCCTGGATTCTGCTAATAGTGGAATTTTGTTAAAGAGGCTATATTTATTTGTCCATTTGATGGCATTTATTTACTTTGAGTAGTATTCAAGATGCCTCCAAAGTGACTTGCTGGAGCTGAACCATTTTGGTTTGTATCACTAGCGTGGCTGGGCATTTCCCTCCTTGTTTTCAGTGCATGATCAATCTTTATTGCTTAGTAGCCATAGGCCATTGCAAATAATACAATAAAACGTCTATTAAGACAGACACAAAACATGAGCAAATGCACTTCCCATTTGAAATAAGGGCAAGGTTAAAGCAAATCCTCTAAATGTCCTGGAATTACTCTTAAATTTAGCTTAAACCAATGAATCACCTTTACAACCCACTGAAATTTGATTCAAAGTACTCACTCCAATTTCATTTACCTTCCATTGCAAAAATGCAGCTTGGTCATACGTGTGTGTGTGTGTACGTACTCTCTCTCTCTCTTTCATCAGATAAAAGGAAAAAAATATTATGTCCTGTCTTGACAGCCTACAGCACTGAGACACGTAGTACAAAAACAGTTTTGTTCTAGAACAGAAATATAGTGGACAGAAGCAGTAAATAACTAACTAAACCTCCATACAACCATTTCCTTGGTGGGCAGAGTAAACCTAGAGACCCACCCCAGGCCTTTGCAAAATGTAGAAAATGCAGCAGCAATGGTGACAACATAAAGGCACACAAAAGCAATGATGTGTTGCAAAACAGAAGCGAACTGTTTACACCTGAAGGGAAGCCCAGGAACTGGAGCATGGAATCTTCCTCTTTATCAGCACTCTCCCCAGGGACGTCTTTAGTCGGCCTCCCAGGAAGCAGCTTCTCTTCTTCTGTCCCTGAGCTGCTTTTATATCTCAGCCCACAGACAGCAGAAAAAGGTCCACTTTTGCCTTAATCCATTCTACAGACTAGACTGTCCACAAGCCACACTTTACATCCTCATTTTGACACCTCCTGATTTGCTTACCTGCCAGACATGGGTTTGCTTCAGGAACCCAGGTTCACCCTGTGATTCCCAAAACAAATGATATCCAATATTTCTTTTTCAAAACATCAGTCCAGTTCCTTCACACCGTCTACTCTGTAGAGGGCTGGTCCATTGGGGCAAAGGGGGCGCTGCCCCACCAAAAGATTCCTTTCTGAGTCTCCTTAAACATTGAGCCCAGAGAAGATCAGCCATCTAGGTTTTTGGCCATCTCTGCATCCTCTGGGAGCACAAATACAAAGCAAGCAATTATTTTGGGGGGAGGTTGTTGGGTGATGTTTCACAAGCCTCATTCCTGTCTGATTTCTTAGAGGCGCACTGGTGCTCTCTGACTACTTACCTTTCCTAAGCTATCCTTGTTCTCCTTTACAGCTTCTCATTACTACAAATACAAGCAGCAATTCATCTTCCCAGGTAAGTTTCTCGAGAACGGCTGCAGCCTCCCAGAGGCATCTCCTGCTCAAAAACCCATCTTCATCTGACACATGGCCAGTTTTCCCCACACATTCAATTTCATACCCTGTAGAGATGGGAAACTCAACTCAGTTCATATTTAAAGGCGATTCCATCTCTGTGTGTTTTTTTAAATATTTGTATACCACTGTTCATTAAAACAACAACACCAAAGCACTGCACAACAACAACATAAAACCATGCGATAAAAATGACACGAAATGATAAAACCAGTCATCCATTAACTCAATTGCCTGCATAGAAAAGCTTTCAGCAGGTATTTAAAAGTTGGAACAGCATCTCGATCAGAGCAGCTTTGGGGACTGGGGGTTATCTTGGTCAAAGGCACATATTTGTGTACATCAGTTTTTAGTCAAATTTTAAATTCTAAAACTAAAACAACAGACAAGGAATTTTACATTTGCATTAAGAACATAAGAAGAGCCCCCTCAGTTGGAACTCAGCCAGCCTTTGAAATCCAATTCTCTCCAAATTTCTGGGGTTGTCTCAACCCACCCTGACCAATCCTTCTGAATATTCCCAATTCGGCTTTAGACTCAGCCAAATCTTGTGCACACTCATAGTGACGATTTCATTCTCCTCTACCTCAAAACTGCAACCTATTTTTTTACATTTATATCACACCTTT